GCTGTTTAAAGTGGTGGAGGTAAAATCTCTTTGAAGCACGGTTACCTTGACGACGTTAACGAGCCTGTCAGTGACAGAGAGACATGCGCATCACTTTCGTTCCTTAGTTCTCAGGCTTTTTTTGAATGGGATTACTAGCTCCGAACAAACGAGTGCTGAAGACAAACCGTAAATGGTATCTAAAAAATTATTTCAGTCTAAGCGACAGCTATCCTTTATCTCCGATTGGGGTAACTTTCATGGATGTAGCTCATTCATAACCTTAATGGGAAGGAGAAATATAAAGGTTGGAGAAATCCTGCTGGTCTCATTGAATAACATGCAGCACAACGGTAGAGCAGAACTCTCAAAAGCAAAACTTTCCCTCCGAACAAACGAGCGGTGAGCCAAAACCGTATTAGGTATTCAAAAAATTCTTTCACCGTGAGCGTCAGCCATCTTTGGACTACAACTGGTGTAACTTTCATATTTCTACAATATTTCGTCTAGGCGTGGTGATGATGTAAAAAAGTGTATAATTGTCAAAATCTTGATTTTGGGGTTCGGACAGATTTGTTACCCCCGAACAAACCTTTTTCCTAGCTAAACGATAAAAGATATCGACACACTTCCTTCAATGTGAGTGCTAGGAAGGTCTGAGGAACAACTTCCACAAGGCTCGTGTTGCTAGGTCGAACAGTTCCCGAATGCATAAGCATTCCCACTTGATAATAATAATAAAGAGAAACAGAAAAACAAATCAAGTTTTGCATAAGCATTCCCACTTGATAAGCATCAAATCTGTAACTTAAACTAACCTCTTATAACTTATCTCACTATGCTCAGTGATAAAAGATTCCTGAAAACTTTGAAGCTGCTTTTTTGTGGTGAATATTAATATTGCTTTTTTTGTGTCCTCATTGTTTGCTTTGCCACAGAGTGATGAAACAACTACAGGGACCCCTGTTGCAGACATAAATCTGCAAACATTTAAAACCTAACAATATACACTCACCGGCCACTAAGCAGCCAATCACATCGCGGCAATTCAGTGCATTTAGGCATGTAGACATGGTCAAAACAATCTCCTGCAGTTCAAACCGAGCATCAGTATGGGGAAGAAAGGTGATTTGAGTGACTTTGAACGTGGCATGATTGTTGGTGCCAGAAGGGCTGGTCTGAGTATTTCAGGAACTGCTGATCTACCGGGATTTTCACGCACAACCATCTCTAAGGTTTACAGAGAATGGTCCGAAAAAGAAAAAACATCCAGTGAGCGGCAGTTCTGTGGGCGGAAATGCCTTGTTGATGCCAGAGGTCAGAGGAGAATGGCCAGACTGGTTCGAGCTGATAGAAGGGCAACAGTGACTCAAATAACCACCCGTTACAACCAAGGTGGGCAGAAGAGCATCTCTGAACGCACAGTACGTCGAACTTTGAGGCAGATGGGCTACAGCAGCAGAAGACCGCACCGGGTGCCACTCCTTTCAGCTAAGAACAGGAAACTGAGGCTACAATTTGCACAAGCTCATCGAAATTGGACAATAGAAGATTGGAAAAACGTTGCCTGGTCTGATGAGTCTCGATTTCTGCTGCGACATTCGGATGGTAGGGTCAGATTTTGGCGTCTACAACATGAAAGCATGGATCCATCCTGCCTTGTATCAACGGTTCAGGCTGGTGGTGGTGGTGTCATGGTGTGGGGAATATTTTCTTTGCACTCTTTGGGCCCCTTGGTACCAATTGAGCATCGTTGCAACGCCACAGCCTACCTGAGTATTGTTGCTGACCATGTCCATCCCTGTATGACCACAATGTACCTAACTTCTGATAGCTACTTTCAGCAGGATAATGCGCCATGTCATAAAGCTGGAATCATCTCAGACTGGTTTCTTGAACATGACAATGAGTTCACTGTACTCAAATGGCCTCCACAGTCACCAGATCTCAATCCAATAGAGCATCTTTGGGATGTGGTGGAACGGGAGATTCGCATCATGGATGTGCAGCCGACAAATCTGCGGCAACTGTGTGATGCCATCATGTCAATATGGACCAAACTCCCTGAGGAATGCTTCCAGCACCTTGTTGAATCTATGCCACCAAGAATTGAGGCAGTTCTGAAGGCAAAAGGGGGTCCAACCCGTTACTAGCATGGGGTACCTAATAAAGTGGCCGGTGAGTGTATATATAGATATATAGGTATATATCTATAGATAGATAGATATCTATCTATAGATAGATCTATCTATCTATAGATAGATAGATATATATATATATATCAGCTCATAGATTGTCAGGGGATGTGCTGCACCTTCAATTTTTTTTTGAGGATGTTCTTTGTGGCTAAACTCTCCTTGTGCTGCAGTAGGGTGTTTTGACAGGACATGTACGATGTGACCCCTGTGGTTTATGTGTGAAGCACTTATATAATTTTATTAAAGGTCAGTAAATAACAATTTTAATTGAACCGTTTTTGTATTTTGACCACATTCAAGCTGGTTTAGCTTAACATCTGCAACCCCAACTTTCTAAACCTAAAATGGTTTCCGCTGTACTAATAGAACATTTCAACTCTTGTGTTGGACTTGTGAATCTTTATTTAAGTTTTTAGAGATCAATAAACATCTATTATAATTGATTATGTTGCATTTTGATCACATTTAAACAGTTCCAGGTCAAAAGGTGCAACACCAAGACTCTTCCAACTTAGACTGCATTATTTTCCATTGAGATGAGAATCATCCAAATGCAGTTTGTGATTTCCAAAATATTTTTTTATATTTATGGGAATGCTTTATTTAACTTCCTGCTGTCAGTCCTACTTGGGTCTTTTAAGTTTCAGCAAATTTTACATTTCTTCAAATGTTCTAGTTTCTAATGAAGTTTGTTTCTAAATGTTGTGTCTTAAGCTTATCTAATGACAGGAAACAACACCTTAAGGAACATTTAGTTCATTTTATCAAATATGCCTCCATATTTTATCCTTCCATATGCTTCCTAAGTCTTAATATTTTTTAAGTCTTTTTTATTTGAAATATTTCAACAACTATTTTGAACAACTAAAAGTTTTAGGATACTTCAGCTTGTTAAAAAGTATTAGCCCTCTTTCTATAAGCCTCATCATCTGCCTTGCATGTAGGGTTTTTGCTTTGGATTGTTTTTTATTTTGATCAACTGACACTTTTGCATTTATTTCCGACAGGTATGCCAATTCTTCACATTTAAAAAAACAATTTCACACTTTGCTCCTTATTCTATATAAAATTCTTTAACATTTCAGTCACTATCCTTTAGCCACGAGATTATTTTCCTTTTAACCAAATAAGTATCCAGTTTCTCCATACAATTTTTTTGTGCTATTTCTGCTAATTTATTAGATCTCAGCACTTTGACAATATAGATTAAAATAGAAATTAAGCATTTCTGTTTTCTACTATTTCAGCCATGTTTCCTTCAATTTGTTTTTTTTTTCTCTTCATTTTTTAGCATATCATTTAGCACACAGAACTCACACTGCATTTTCATGCGAAACTCAGCTTTTTGTAGTTTTTATATAAAATTAAATGTTTAAATAAATTGTATTTAAAAAATGTAATTCAAATATTTTCTCTAGCCCATACGTTTGACTAACAAACACCATTCAGTGGCTTATGTTAAGTCAAACTGTATATAGCATCTTTAAAGCTAAAATGTTTTCTTGAGTGCTTCAAGAAAACAAGATCCATCTCCTTCAGTTTTCTCTGGGGACTAATCATCAGATTTTTGATCACAACTCTTCTAGAAAGAAAAAAGATGTAATCAGGCCTGTTTATGTTCAGCTCTCAAAGTCAAGAGTAAGATCTAGCAAAATTCCTAATATGAAAGTGTTCCTAATACTTTAACTTGTCCCTATTTTGTTTTGAGCTTCTGAGAAGTTTTATATCCATGAGTTTATTTTTCCAGTTGTAGAATTTTATTTGGAGCAAGGTGACCTTTAACTTGACCACTCTTAACCAACAGACAATTTAAAGGTATATTTTAGCTTTGACAGCGGCTTTAAGGTAGCTTTTTCTCGAAAGTGAGCCTCTAACCCAATCACAAGTCTGCTGCAGCAAAAGGTTTTCCTAGATTTTGTCTTAATACAAATGGAAATACTTGGCTCGGTACATTAGCAGCAGAGCATTTCTCGTCTTCTACACTCAGCTATAAAGTGATATCATCCAGTTGTGTTTAAGAATTTTATGTAGAATCAGCAGAAGAAATGAGATGATGCAGATAGCAAACACACTTCAGGTTATTTGTCAACAGTTCTGGAATCAACGTGGAATCCAGGCACTCAAGAACAGAATCCAGAACTTTATTCGGTCTGGTTAAACCTGAGCAGTTTCCACTTTTTAACAAACGTTAATCTGAAAGAGGGACACTCCAAGACCTACAGCTGTAAATACAGGAAAGAAGGTTCTCAAACATATTGGCTTGGAGGAGTTTGATAGATTTGGAAAACTTCTCATTACCTAAAATGCATACACCTATTGTTTAGACATGCTAACAGATGTTGCCTTTTTTTTTTTTTTTAAATAAAGGGTGGGTTTCAAAATGCTTAAACATGATTTTTTTTTGGCTCATTATCAAAGAAGAAATATGTGTTTAATAACTATAACACTCAAATCTATTTTTCAGAACAAACATTATCATCTCCAAGTCAAAACTGAAGAAAGAAAGCAAGCACAGGGTGGTTTATGTGTGCATTAGCATTTTAATTGGACAAAGCAAAAAAAAAATAAAAATAAAAGGAAAACATTGATTACAGTAGCAGAGTCAACAGTTCTCAGGGCTGAACATCATTCTAAACAAAAAGGGCATGAAAATGTCTGTAGGCACTGCCTAATTAAAAAGTATCTTGTCAGCTAAAAGAAACCAGCTCTATAAGGCAACAGTTACAATGTAGGTCTGTCCATTTCTGTGGCAAAATGAACGGTAGAAGTTGAATCCACTCAGTTTCATTATAAAATACTGGCGTTTCAATAGATATTTAAAAAAAAAAAAGTTTCAAACATACATATTCATTTTTAAACATTTGATTTAAGTATGCACTGCATGGCAATGCTGTCTTATCCCTGCATGGAAGAATTGTGTTCACTGTACCAGTGACATTTAAATAGTGCCACTCTGCTACAAACAATGTTGGAATTAGCTGTTGAATTATCAAAACAAAACTGAAAAGCAAGCACCCACAGTTAACAGTAGCATTTTAACATACATTGTTCCAAATGAAGTCAGTTGATAGTTATTTACATGTGGGAAGAAGAATTTGAGGCCGTCAGAAAAGATCGGAAGGAGGAATGTAATGCAGAAGGAAATGCGCCATGTAACCAAATCTAAGTACGAGGAGAAAAGCTGTGCAATATTTACCTGCCTTTACCAAGAAACAGCAGTGACACAAATCCCTGCAATTGTTTTAATCTAAGAAAAAAAAAAAAGTATCCATTTTTCAATCACTTCAGTTCACAAATTATATTTCCCGTCAGTTTCTTGGGGAGGAAGATAACCACCTTTTGGTGGCTTTCAAAGCATAAACGTGAAAATGGAAGCAGTTTGTAAAACCCAGAAAACGGAACATTTCAAAAGTTTCTTTTTTACAGTTTTATACTCATTTACAGTTAACTTAAAAAGGTAAGAACCCTGGATCATGGCCAGTTTTCCAACCATCAATGGGTATAAATACCTGTGTGGGTCAAATCCCTGCCCCTGGCTCGTGTTACCTCAGCCCCCCTCCCCCCACGAAAAACGATTTACATTTCTCGGATGTCAACCTTCCCGTTAGGTTCTACATCCTGTAAAGTCTCATAGTCCTGCCACAAACTGGGGTGATGGTAAACGTACCCGCAGGGCACCGGTCAGCCAATAACCGGCTGTTTGCCGGCAATCTCCCACCCTGCCCACCTATCAGTGTGTGGGGTATCCTGCGGCTCCCATGCCAGGCTGGTTGGCTAGCATACTCCCATTCAATCCCTGTGTAGGCTCCATAACCCCACCGTTACTGATGGCGCTCATGCCAGTCCACCCAGCACTGGCCGGTAAGTGACTGCAAAAGAAGAGGTACAGGGAGAGGGAGAGAGAGAGAGAGAGACAGAAAGACAAAATGCCAGCAGGTTAGAAGAGACGATAGGGAGCAAAAAGATGTTTCTTAAGTTACTGGGACTTGAACAGGTTAGAGTCAGGACAAGAAGGTGGTGAAGGTGAGGAGGGAAGAATTAATCATAAAAAATAAAGTTTGCAACAAAATTAAACAGACATGAAAAGAGAAGGTTTTCGTTTGATGGGTAAACAAGCAGACAAAAAGCATAGAGGCTTAGCACAGCAAGCTAAATAATACACCCCCCCTCCTTCGCTTCACGTGGGAATGAAGTTCACTTCAGCTGGCAGGCCTTACTCCTACATATGAACAAATTATTTAAGACTCCAGTTCACAGGATGCCTTTTAAAATCCTACCGATCAATTATGAAGATAAAAGCAAGTCCAGCATCTGAATGCAATAAATTTTACCTTCAGGTTTCAAGTGGAGACAGTCACAGATTTTTATATTTACATACATGCATTTACCTTTCACCTTAAAGTAGGATGAATTAATACAGCTATTAGGCAATCTTAGACTTTCAGCTTTTCTTTATTATGATAGAGTGCACACTGCACTGCACATAGATGATCTAAAAAACCCACTGAAAACCCACAAGGTAAGACTCAGTGACATCCATATTCAGACCAAATCAAAAAAAAAAAAGAAAAAAGTAGAAATGAACTAAAGAAAATGTAAAATGCTATGGCATGAATGGGCATAAATAATCAAACAGCTTGAAAGGACAGTTTGGACCAACAGAAATTGTTTTACTGTCAGTGGAAGTTTAATTGCTTTAAACTTTATTTTTTATGCACTGGGGTACTTAGGGGGGAAATTGAAAGAACAAAGGACTTTGGAACACGCTTCTTAGAAAAACATAATTAGTCATCTACAGCAAGCAGGGATACAACCCTGAAGTGTTCATGTCAACAGAATTTCTGTTCATACAGGGTCAAAGTGTGTGCTTGTTTCTTAATCTTCTAGAGATGAGGATGAGAAGGGGGAGTGAATGGTGAAGGCAGGAGGGAGCAGGCTGGGGTGAATGAGGGAGGGGTGATGGTGGAGGCTGCTCCCTCCTGTGGCCAGAGGTGGTTCTTGCTGCCTCAGTCTCGAAGGTGAATCCTGTGGTGCTGAAGTAGGAGAGGGTGGTGCAGAGCAGCCCTGTGGCCATCGTGCTACTTACTTAAAGCCCTGCTGGTTCCAGGCCTGACTGTAGACACCATAAGTGGGGACCTGCCACCCGTTAGGGACATACTGGCTGATCTGGGGCCCGTTGCCGTACCATTGGCCCCACTGATTGTAAGGCTGGGCTGCAGCAAAGCCAATCTTGTTCTGCTGCTGAGTGAAAAACAGAAAAAAGATTCCTTAGAAATAAAATGATTACGCCCCAGATCCAAACTTCCAACTTTTCTGCTGATATTTTTCTACTTATTTAAGGAAGAATGCAATTATTTAAAATTTGTCTCCATTAAAGGAATAGTACACCCAAAACATGATTAGCCTTCATTTTCTACTCACCCCCATGCTGAACAACACTCTGGAGTACTTTTTTGATATCTCAAATGCATCTGGAGATCTGGGAGGCTTCTTGCTGTCTGCTGACATTCAAATAATGGAGGTCTATGGTGCCCGAGGCAGAAAGGTCCATAAAAGTCCACAAAAAACGTGTCAATATTCCTCCATACTGCTCGTCCAATGTATTCCAAGTGTCCTGAGTGGGTAGCGTCCATAATTTACTCGAAACGAAGTCATTCAGAATGTTTTTAGAGCATAAACAGTAGTGTATAGGATTTCCTGAAAGCTCGCGCCTGCGAGTTCACGACGCTACGGAAACCGCGGCAAACCACACCAGATGAAAGTGCGCATTCAGCTCGGCAAAGAACTCATGCTCTTCCTCACCACTGAAGTCCTCAGACATTTTTCTTTCGTTGTTTCTTTCTTTGCACAGGTAAACAGCACATTTCTTTTTCTACGCTTGCATTATCGGCAGAGCAGACGCTGAATGCGCACTTTCATCTGGTTTGGTCTGCCGCGGTTTCCGTAAAGTCGTGAACTCGCAGGCGCACGCTTTTAGGAAATCCTATACACTACTGTTTATGCTCTAAAAACATTGTAAATGACTTTGTTTCGAGTAAATTATGGACGCTACCCACTCAGGACACTTGGAATACATTGGACGAGCAGTATGGAGGAATATTGACACGTTTTTGTGGACTTTTATGGAGCTTCTGCCTTGTGCGCTATGGACCTCCATTATTTGAATGTCAGCAGACAGCAAGAAGCCTCCCAGATCTCCAGATGCATTTGAGATATCAAAAAAGTACTCCAGAGTGTTGTTCAGCATGGGGGTGAGTAGAAAATGAAGGCTAGTCATGTTTTGGGTGTACTATTCCTTTAAGAGTTTACTTTTATAACATTATCTGTACAGTAAAACTATTCTTTACATGTAATAAAATATGTAAACATTAATTAAACTTAAAGCATTTTCAAATGACAAACATGTCTTGTTTATATCAAGTCTTGTTTATTCCAGAGTTTATCTATAGTTGGATTTTCCTTCCCCATCTAACTCGTCCCACTTTTGGTGACAGATGATGGGATCTTGTTTTTTACAATAAACAATAAATCAACAGGGCAATTTAATCAAACAGAGTCGACTCATAGCTGGAGAGCTTGAAAGTTTGATGCACTTTAATCCCAGACTTTGCATGAAAATCGGCTGCCTCTGCTGCTTAAAGCATGTCTGTGAATGTGATGACATCACTGAGTGAGCATTGATTCTACTTAGTCTTTTACTGTTAAATTGTCAACTTGGAAAAAAATCACAACTTCTTAATGACCTAAATCATTTATTGCATTTTTGCAAGTTAAAACAAAACGTGCATCAAATATGACTGTACATATTTATAAAACTGTGTTTACAAAACACCAGCTTGGAGCTTTATCTTATATGTCATAAATTAGTATAAACCTTGCCCATGAAATGTTTTATTATTCTAACCACTTGTCCTCTTTCCAAATCATTCTCTAAGAAAACCTACAGCTTTTAAAAGTAAAAATCATTTTAAACACACCATTTTGTAATAACACAAGAAAAACAACAACATTTTTCTCAAAATTGATACTATACACATAAATAATAAATCCTCAACAAAGTGCAAAACTGTAAATGAGAGTTATTTTAGATACGGTGAGACATTTAAAAACATGGCGGAAGAAGCAGCTGTGGGTCGTTTAGTAATACAGACCACAGCAATAGCCAATATAGAAACGCACAGCAGTCTCTCTCCTTAAATATGCAATGATTGCTTATGCTGCCAGGCTAGAGAAGATTAGTACAAATATGCCTTTGGTACTAAAAACATAAACTAAAGTCATGATGTTTCATTCCCACATCTGGCTGACTTTCTTTTCACTTCTTTCTCATCACACTCCATATGGAATCTGTGGAAGTATTTGGTTGAAACGTCGGGGTAGTCAAGCTACAACTGTTTCAGAGAATCTTTAGAGTGTTAGTAAATATTTAAACTAATGTTAAATGTTGATATTGTCACTTCCTGGTGTGACATACACATCATAACACACAACTGATTTGTTAAACTTGTATGAGAATAAAAAAAACCAAGCAAGACAAAAAAACAAACGTGGTTTAGGTGGAAAGACCACAAAGGCAGTTTTACAGCAGCATGGACAATAGTCTTTTTATGCCATCATACACTATGACTGATTACACCTACACAGACCTAAATAATAACTGCCGACATGTGGATGAACTGTTATAACCCTCAAAAGGAAGCAGGTGAAGTCACTGTCTGGCAGAGATGCTGTTATTATGTAGCAGCCTTACCTGTGGCACCGACATCGGCTGCATGGAGTTCATCATGTCTGGTGTCTCTTTACCCCAATAGCACTTCACTACGTGACCCTCAATTGAAGAACCATTGACAGACACAATTGCATGGGCTGCTGCTTCATGGGAGTTAAACCTGGAAACAAGATCATTGGAGAATGGAATTGTGGAAAATCTATCTTAATATTTTTAGATGTATCCACTAGGTGTCAGTAGACAGTTTACAGCGAAAAAGAAAGAAATGCCAAAAGATTTCAGCCAGACGAGAATCACTGCTTTGAACAGAGCCAAGTCAAAGTTTAAGCAAAGACAAAAAAGCTCCGCTTTGTACATTGGCATATAATGTGTTCCAATGGTACAAGGATTACACCGTTGCATTTCACATTTCAACACACCTCACGAACGAATAGCCTTTATCTGGAAAAACTCTGACTTCCATGATCTGTCCAAAAGGAGAGAAGGTCTGTCTCATCAGTTGCTCTGAAAGGAAAGCAAAAAGAAGCATTAATAACCTTGATCAGGTGTTTGGTGGGTCACAAAATGATTACTGGAAGGACTCTGGACTGACTTCTTTCACTGGTGCAATTTTCTGTTTCAACATCTAGATGCACAAGCAAATATTTCCCTGCACCCAAATGGTTTATGATTCATTGGTGAGAGAATTAAACCAACATATTCTAAACTTAATGGCTGAATGGGTCTCACTGCAAAGCCTAATGCATAGTATAGTTATTAAACAGCTTTTCAATATTTCAGAAAGCCTGCCTCTGAAGTGCTCCAATAATATCAAAATGCATGAAATCGAAGTGAAAGTGTATTTAAAAGCTCAGAGCTCATCAAAAACATTCAAATGTTAAAACATTTTAGTAACATTTAAAACAAGTTTACACAACAACAAGTTTTAAATGTTACTAAAAAGAAGCTGCCGAACTAGAGCTAAACAAACAGCAATGTTTGCTGATTACATTACCAACCCGTGAGCCCTGTGCTGACCCCGCCACAATACACAGTGCAGTTACTGGGGCTTGACTGGCTCATGACGTCATCAAAGGATAGGTGCTTGGAGTTTGCTGGAAGGCAAATGATAAACATTACTTGTGTGTCACTTCAACATATCCAGGAATCCTCAAAAAATAAACAACATCTACTAACTTTCATAGGTGGCCTTCGGAGCAGGGGGCTTTCTTGTGGCCCAGTTGGTTCGTATCTGTCTCCCACCTAACCACTGTCCCCCCATGTGCTGAATGGCATTCTCTGCATCCTGGAAGAAACAATCAGGTTATCATCTAAAATTCCACCTAAAGGCAGGAACCACAAAGCTCTCCATAGAAAGCTGCGTTTTAAATAAACAACGATGCTTCCTATGGGATGACCAACTATGCTAGTTACAACAATGATGACTCCTTACCCATTTATTGAAAAAAGACACAAAGCCATAGCCTTTAGATTTCCCTGTAGCCATATCCTTCACAACTCGAGCATCTCTGTTGACAAAAAAACAAGTCCTTAGCACAGTTCCAACATCAGTGTTGTACAAGCAGCACAACAACTAAAACTGTATACAGCAGATTATTTATTTAACTCTCTACATTCCCAAATTAATCTGTGATTAAAGAACCTCTGCTTACACAATTTGTAGGACGAAGCTTCTTCCCTAGGAGAGGAAATACAAGATTGCTACTTTCCCTTTCCTCTCCTCATCAACCCTGCCTTTAATGGTCCCCAGATGTGTTTTTAAAGTTAGGAAGATGCTGCCCCACTCAATTACTCTGTTAAAAACCCATTTAGCAGACAGGTTTCCACACATTTTTCATAGCAAATTCTCATCTCTGCCACTCAACACACAAGACAATTTACCTTACAAATGTGGCAACACTTAGAGACAGAATAAACTATATTCAAAGGTATACAATTTATTTCCAGAAGCTCAATTACAAAAACAAATGTCAGAGACAAAAAAAAGCCATGATCACCAAGAAGAGACCCAACAAGACATGTCGTTAAAGTGCCACTTACCAATAATGTGCAAACAAATATCTGTGGATAAGTTATTACACTAAGGATTGACATATTGAGATAGTTAGACCTCTAACCTGTGCTGTATAAAATAAAGAAAGATGTAAAATTATTGTATGGCCAGTATGCCTTATTTAAATTGTAATAACATCAGAACTTGTTTACAAGAGTAATGGCTAACTGATACCTCAACATTTAAAAAATGTAAGTGAAACATTTTATTTTATTCTGGTCATAAAAGGAAATTACTCTGTAAAAAAAAAAAAGCTTTATAGTTGTTCTTAACTTAGGACGGATATTGTACGTATAGAAACCTATGTGCAGAATCCAATAAGAGCATACTGAACTAGCACAACTTTAACTTTTATTTAAAGGGATTGACAAACTATCACTAGCCTAGCAGGAATGGACGATGTGTGGCTTTCTGGTATCAGAGGAGTATTTAAGACTGTTTCAATAAAGGTATCAACCCGTTTAGAGCTTTACACTTACGATATCCTGCCGAAAGGAGCAAAGGCAGCTTTGACGTCTTCAGTTGTTATCTCTGGACTGAGGTCTCCAACGAAGACATGAAAGTGATCTATAAGGGGGAAAGTTTTAAAGCTGTTAATTTTTTTTTCCCCTTTCTCAACAGAGCACACCAGAAAATCTGCTCACAATAGTTACTGAAAAAAAAAAAAAAAACATTCACAGACTTTCTATTCTTTTTTTACCTGCTACCTGATTTCCCACCCAGGAAGCTTTTTCAATTCAAAAATGTTTTGAATTGAAAAAGCTTCCCGGGTGGGAAGGGAAGCAAAACGTCTTCAAAATTGGAGACAAAGTCCAGTGGATTGTTTTTAATTTTCTTTTTTCGGAATGACTATGACCTGGATGACTGAGAATCTTGACCAGCATGCTACTTGATTTATTTCAACGGTATTGGAAGACCCCCACCATGAGGCACAGGTACTTACTGCTTGTGTCTTTTTTCTGGCTGGATGGTGTTGTTGCCCAGTTCACTTTCACCTCCTGCAAAGCAAAACAGAGAAAGAAGGCATCAGATGGAGTATGTTTACACTAAAAAGTAAAACTTTCCCAATAAGACTACCTCAAAAATTGGCTGAAACACACCTTTATGATTTAAGAACTTAAACTGTTTGCAGTTTACTTCACTGTTTTGATAACTTGGCTATATGAAACAATGGAGTAAAACATATTTTTGACCATAAAATATTAAGATGTTAAGTTTTCATTTCTTATACTTCACCCAGACAAGAAATAAATATAATCAGATCCAACTTCACGGCTATATTCTAAAGTACTTATAATTCAAATAATCAATCTTAATTTCCCTAATCATGTTCTGCATGAATAATCCATGGTAAAGTACATCTATAAAATGGTATTTTTTCTTCTGTAATACCCAGGTTCTTCATGCCCAATCCCCACTCACCCTGTAGATACGATAGCTTACCTTACCCAAAATTTTCCTTCCATTCATGGCTGCCAATGAGGCAGCAGCATGCCTGTGATCATAGAACTCCACAAAGCAGTATGGATCATTTCCAGCAGTCTGTCAATAGTAGAGACCATTAATCAAAAATCAATATTTTACCAATTGCAAATAACTCACAGCAGCCTGGTGTGTCAGGTCTGCTTTACCTGAAACATAGCAGCAGGTATATACTAGAGATGCACATAGAAAATAGTCAGTAATAGAAAAGGACCAATTTAATGCTTGACTAACCCTAACCAGGGCTGATAACGATCAGAGTTGTTCCTAAGATCAACCTAAATGAGTTATCAACATTAGCAACGGATTTGAACCTATTCCACAGGTAAAACACCCAGAATCCGGTGGCCAGCCCTGATTAAAAAAAACCTAAAGATTGTTTGGAACCATCTTTAGCATTTTAATATTTAATGTGTTTCTTTATCGAAACACATAACCTTTAATTGTAAAGTTGGGGAATGCAGGAAGCTCTCACACACACACAAGGCATTTTGTCCCTGCTCCACTTGTTAATATGACTGATTTCATCCAGCCTGGGAAGCTGTTTTCTATTTGAATAAATAGAAAACAGCTTTATGTGACAGTGACCTTTTAAGGAAGATAGTTAATAATGAACTAACCGTGAGTTTGAAACAATATTGCTCGTTTTAGTTTGTTTAAAGAAATTTATATGAGCTAAAAGGACTCACAACATACAAAAACTATAAGTTTCAGGTTAAAAATCGACCACTGGTGCACCTCTAGTATTTAGTCATTTGACGTTTTTATGTATAAAATATGGTTGAAAAACCCACTTACATCATTGATCATTTTACAGCTCTTGCAGGGCCCTATCTGTTGGAAGACCTGTAGAATGAGGGGCTCAGTGACATCCCTGGACAGATTTCCTACATACCTACGAAGACAGAGAGAAATGGTCGAACTGAGTCTCTGCTAAACAGGAAGTAGCACGCAAACAAAGGCTAGTTCACCGGGATAGCAACATTCACAGCAATTTCTGATGTAAACAAAAGTATAAACTAAATAATAATGAACAGTTAAGATGGGGATAGATTATATTCTCCACAACTAACCCTAATTCTTAAAAAGACCACCCTGTAAGTCAGGGGTGCCCGTTGTGGTCTATGAGCGCGTTGACGTGGCTCGTCTGCTAGCTAGCTAGGCTAAAGATCTCGCTAACCGGTCGAAACAGGCCTCGGGTTAAATTTTGGATATAACTAAACTTTAAACAAACTAGTTGATATTTCAGAAACATCACATCTATTTTTTAAAACACAATAGTTGTTGTTAATATAAACCTTATTGCTGGATATGTAACACATTGTGTTATATCTTTAGCTAATTCTAGATCTAGCTAGCTACTCAGTATCAATTTAAAGTGTTCCCATATATTTTAGTCGCAATTACAATTAACGCTTTTAGTCAGATTTACTCAAAAAATATTTTTGTTCCTTTCAAGGTTGCGTCGGTGACAAATGGAAACAAAAGAAATTGGGGGGGGGGAAACAGTCCGTTAAATTGCAAAGGTGTATATCTTCCTAATTGTAACAACGTGGAAACATTTTTGCAATAACTAGACGAAGCCTGGGCATTCCAGGACATAGCCTGGGCCACTGTTACTCACAAGGTTCTAGGCTGCTCGTCGTCCATCGTCGGGGTTCAGTGGTCGAGTCCTGGGAGGGGGCTTTATTCCAGTGACATACAACAGGTCTGGACTGAACCCGAAATACCTGGAGCACAGGTGGTATATCTTCGGTTCAACGAAAAAGCCGTGTCCGACTCTGGTGTCTCGCTTGCAGCATACAGCCCCCTCTCTCCGTCTGATGCAAACAATAGGAAGTTGAAGATGGCGGAGGAGCAGCGTCAGTAACGTCAAACTACAAGCGCGCTGAAAGGAGAAAAATCGAGCGCTCCTTCACGCACACAAAGATGCGTGTCCACATCTGTTTTACATCCACTGAAATTTCACACACTGTTACATTACAAAATGAGCCCGAGTCATTTTTTGTTAATTGGTTACCTTCATTTTGAGAGATAACACAATGGGTTTGCTACAGTAAAAAAAAAATTCTTGAAACGCATTTCTTGTGCATTTCTAATTGTAGGAGTGAAATCTGCTACTTTGAAAAGCACATATCTCTGTGGAAAATAAAAAGTGTGCGCCGCCCGGGAATCGAACCCGGGTCGCAAGAATGGGAATCTTGCATGATACCACTACACCAGCGGCGCTGCATGGATGTCGGAGCGGTCAGAAGATATTTATACATCTTTGACCCATACATTGGTTTTATGATTTTTGTGTTGTATGTTCAAATGCTACCACTAAACTACAGTTGTTACTTTCTGATTAGCATGGCTACGTTATAAAACTGGCACAAAACTATTTCGGTCATTGGGATTTAATGTCCAGGCAAATGTAAAAAAAAAAAATAGAGAGTTATTTTGATTTTGGAGGGTTTTCTGTAACATGGGGCGGGTTTTTCTTCTTAGACTTTATTGTCATTTTGTACACACAAAGAGTATACAAAAAGAAATTACGTTCTATACAGCTCTCGAGACATTTTGATAAAAAGCAAGCAGCAGTGATAAATGTCAACATACGACTGTTTATGAGTTGGTTGTTTTGTTTTTTATAACCTCACTTTATACAACATTTAGCATTCCAATGGAAGTGGGGAAGAAACTGTTATGGAACCTGCTGGACCTGCATCGGATGCTTCGAAGCCTGTTTCCAGAGAGCAGCAGGGAGAACGCTCCCTATGGTGCTTCTGTAGAAGGTGATGAGGATGGGTGGGGGCAGGTGGGCTCTCCTCATTCTTCGCAGGAAGTTCATGCACTTCTGTGCCCTTTTGACCAGTGAGGTGGTGTTCATAGTGCAGTTGATGATGTCTGTGATGTGCACCCCCAGGAATTTGGTCTTGCTGACCACCTCTACAGCTGAGATGTTGATGATCAGTGGAGCGTGGTTAGACCCAAGGGCGTAGGTCTGATTTGAACTATGGTAGGGACACTATTGGTCTGGTGTCATTGGTGCTATGCTATATGCATGCCCTTTTTTATGCTCGATGTGAGCATCCGTACTGATAAGAGGAATTCATTGTTAAAAGAGAAAAGCAACATTTTGCTCCATTAATAAAAATGTTATAAGCTCTACACTCATTAGATGCTGTTTATCAATGTTTGAAGTATCACCGGCTCTGATGAATGTGGAATTAGGACTGTTTTCCACTTTGAAAACGGTTTCATTTGAACGACTAAGAGAAAAGGTAAATACAGTATTTTCTTTTGAAGATACAGAATTGTGCAGAGTTAAACCCCACTCTAATATTTGTACCTACTATTCTCTCTCTGTATCAAGCAAAATAATACATTCATTAAAATATTAACTTCACTATAAAAGTTGAACATCTGGGCTGTAGTTACTCTCTGTAGCCAATTTCATGTATTTCATCTGGGGCTGAAAAAAATGAATCATATTATTGATTATTTCAATAATCGTCAACTAATTTAGTAAGTGATTCATCATTAACTGGAGTATAGAGACTTTAAAACATACAGTAATATAAATGTAAAATGTGCCTTTCCCCACAGAGCAACCCACTTAGATCAGTTATTGTATCAAAATTGTAAAAATTAAAACAAAAAAAAAATAAAACAGTAATATCAACTTAATATCGGTAAAAAGGAAACCCTCACATTTTCTTTTTTAGTTGGCTGTGGCTAAGAATCAGAAATGTTGATGGCTTACAGCCTTTATTTGCCCATTTTTCCAACAGTCTTCAGAACTCCTGGCTGACTCAGAATATTTCGTTTTATAAAAGAAAAAAAAGGTTTTTGTTTTTTAGTGTACATGATATTCATTTTTTTTTATTGGGACTAGTTTTGTAGCCTAATATTAATTGTAGTAACCGCTGCATTCTAGTGTGAATACATTTTCAATGTTGTGCTCCAAGCACACCGGACTAGAAAACAGCCAATCAGAGAGAGAGAAGGCGGAACTTAAGGCAGAACAACCAGTGAGAGTTGAGTTAAACAGCGCAGCACAGTTCCATGCGCTGCTACATGAAAGGGACTGGAGAGACCAGGCAGAGGAGCTGCGAGAGGAAAAGAAGCCACTGCTGCAACAACTACTGCTGTAAATTATAAACATGTTGCTCACATCCAATTATTGGTCGGGACAATTAGGTCGGTTCAAAATTTTGGTATGGACATGTCCCCATGGTCCCTATGCAAACCTACGCCCATGGTTAGACCGGTTCTTCCTGAAGTCAAAGATGATCTCCTTTGTCTTTTCCAATTCAGGATCAGGCTGTTATCTTTGCACCAGTCCACCAACTGCTGTACTTCCTTTATACAGTTCTTGTCGTTGTCCTCTCTGATGAGGCCCACCACCGTGGTGTCGTCTGCAAACTTCACGATGTGATTGGTGGTGAACCTGGGGCGCAGTCAGGTGTCATCAGGGTGAACAGCAGGGGGCTCAGGCACAGCCCTGAGGGGAGCCTGTGCTTATACTGATGACCAGTGGTGATCAGTGGTGTTCTGTCCATCCCGGACTGACTGACGTCTCTGAGGAAGTCTAGCAGACAATTGCAGAGGGGTGTATTGAAGCCCAGCTGTTCCAGTTGGCCCATCAGATGCTGTGGGGTGATGTTGTTGGAAGCTGAACTGACGTCCAGGAACAATAACCGCAAGTGGGTGTTCTTCTCCTCCAGGTGTGCCAGGCTCAGGTGGAGAGCAGAAGAGATGGTGTCCTCCGTGGAGGTGTTCTGTCCGTAGGCGAACTGGAGCGGGTCGAATGCTGGGGGGAGACTGGAGACGATGTGTTCTTTAACCAGCCTTTCAAAGCACTTCCTCATGATTGGAGTCGATGCGACATGCCGGTAATCATTGAGTGAGGTGACCTGAGGCTCCTGTGGGACCGGAATGATGGTGACAGACTTGAAGCATGCTGGCACTACGGATCGGTCCAGCGAGGTGTTAAATCACAAGGGATTCTACAGAGAACATTCAATTAGATCATATAGTCAGATGGGCTCTAAGTTTGTCTATCTAAGGAAAAAAAGCTAATTGTATCGACTCATGACTCCATGAATCCTAAGTACTAACCTCCTGTTAGCGCGTTCTCATGGAAGGTCCCCCACATTAAGGACTGCCCTAAACCACATAATTAATGTGTAGGGCATGTGGACCATTATTGTTTAAACTTCCTCTGTACAATCCAGGTGCCTTCCACAGTTGTAACATTGCGCAAACCATTAAGGCTGTGTCCCTACCTCATAATTTGAGAGCGAATGAACATGGAACATCAAACAAGGTCTGCTTCAAGTGTTGAGGAACGAGGACACTATAAGGCCTTTTCACCAACACGACTCAGAGCCCAGTCGGGTTCCAGAATGTGTTTTTGAAAAGGTAAAGACTGTTTCAACCTCATATAAGAGGTTTCAGAGCATAAACTCATCAGGCTTTGCTGAATCGCTGACACTCAGGGCAGGAGAATGGAAAAACAAGGGAAAAATGAACTGTAGATGAGCTCATACAGTACAACAGAATGAAAACAGTGGAATTTCATCAGGAAAAGATGAACAACAGAAGCTGAAGGGACATGAGGGATATCTGTAATGGTATGTTGCAGTTTTTGTATTGCCATTTGTTATTTGTACATTCATGGTTCAGACTAGAATGGTGATCAATTTAATGTTTCGGATTTTCCTAGGAATTTTTATTGCTTTTATGAACAGATATTTCAAGGCAAGAAGCCGAAGTTGGCGAAAGCTAGGACTGTAGCTTCCGTTTTGGCAAACAATGTGGCTACAACAACTCCTTTGTTTTGTATAAGGAATTCATATCTGCTTTCTATTACATCCCTTACTTAATTGGCTCTTTTAGGGCATGTTGTAGTTTTTGAAAGTATAGTAGCAACAATCAATGATTCAAATTCTGTTATTAAAATAACAATCGGATGCAAACTTCAGCCGGATCCGTTTGTTTATTTGAATTCTAAACAATTCTGTTGCGGCTCTGGCTGTATCTTTAGTGTTGTTGCCTTGATGGAAACCCATCCCCAGTCTGAAGTCATTTTGGCCTCTATAACAGCTTTATTTCAAGGATTGCTACGTTTGTATCCTCATCAAATTTCTCTCATGACTTTGGCAAACTTCCTCCCCCTTCACCATGATACTACCACGTTTAACAATTCAAATGGTATTTTGTGGTACTTCTTGTGATGATAAGGTATCGGCTTTTAGTAGTAAATTATATTAGGCGTATCTGACTATAAGGTCTTCTGCTATATATGTCTTGTATTCCTTGCATGGCCTGTGGGAAATTTTAAATGAATATTTTGTAAGAATTGGTTTATTTTACATGGATGCTCCATATCAGGGATTGCTGCAAAGAAATCTTTAGATGCGAAAAATAGACATTGAGCATCTGTTCTATTTCATCCAAAAGTTGATCACATTGAAGTCAGATCTGTGTAGTCCAGTCAAGTTTCTCTACTCCAAAACATACATAGTTGCAGCTATTATCAATTCAAACATCCAGAGCCATTGATATGAAAGTACAAAAAAATAGCACAAAGTTCTCCAAATGACTACAATTTCTGTTCATTGTATGTTCATCTGACCTCAACATGAATCAAAGAGCTCAGAGGATATAAAATAATACTAAACTGTACCTGTATGTCTCTATGGTTTCTTTTTGGGGTTATTGGGTTGCTTGTTCTCTGTGTACTGCCTTAGACAATGCAGCCCCTTTGAAAATGAAAAACGTTAAAAACAAAGGGCTGGCTCCTTGGTTTAATGCAGAGCTGCGCACTTTGAAGCAAAATGCTAGGAAACTGGAGAGAAAATCGTGCAGTCCTACGGGAATCCTACCTAGTCTGCAAAAATAGTTTACTGCTGTAAAAGAGGACTCTTTGTAAAGCAAGAGTAGCATATTTCTCCCCATTAATAGAGGAGAATAAGAATAATCCTAGATATAGTTTTTAATACAGTTGCCAAACTCACACAGAGCCATAGCTCTGTTGAACCGTCCATTCCACCTGCTCTTAGCAGTAATGATTTTATGAGATTCTTTATAAATAAGATTGATCTTATTAAAAATAACATCATTAGCACTCCTCTAAGTATGATTGTTTTATCTCTGGAAGGTAAGGCAGCATTTGAGGTAGCCATAGAGTCTGCTTAGATCCAGTTTAACTTTCAGAGTTAGCAAAACTATTGCCTTCATCTAAGCCTTCAACTTGTATAGCCTTCAACGTGTATGTCAGATCCAGTTCCAAACAGGTTATTTAAGGAAGTATTTCCTTTGATCTCCTCCTCCATTTTAGATGTGATTAATCTATCTCTGTTACAGGGATATGTACCAAAGGCTTTTACAGTTGCTGTAATTAAACCTTTGCTTAAGAAACTATCTCTTGATCCAGATGACTTGGTCAATTATAGACCTATATCCAATTTTCCTTTGTTATCTAAAATTCTTGAAAAAGTAGTTGCCAAACAATTGTGCGAAAACATACATCAATGATGAAGAGTTTCAATCTGGCTTTAGAGCTCATCATAGCACTGAAACAGCTCTGGTGAAGGTTGCTAATGATATTCTCATGGTCTCAGATAATGGACTTGTATCTGTACTTGGACCAGAGTCTTTGAATTTGATTTCAGATAATAAGGTAAAAAATCTTGGTGTTATTTTTGATCAGAACCTGTCATTTAAATCCCATATAAAAGAGGTTTCTAGAATTTCCTTCTTTCATCTGAGGAATATTCCAAAAATTAGAAATATCCTGTCCAGGGGTGATGCTGAGAAACTAGTCCATGCATTTGTTACTTCAAGGCTGAACTATTGTAATTCTTTACTATCAGGAAGTCCACAAACTGTAGTTAAAACCATTCAACTAATCCGAAATGCTGCAGCCAGAGTTCTGATGAAAATTAAAAACAGATATCATATCTCTCCTATCCTGGCTTCTCTTCATTGGCTTCCTGTTAAATCAAGAATAGAATTTAAAATTCTCATCCTCACATATAAAGCCTTAAATGGCCAAGCTCCATCTTATATCAGAGATCTGATTGTTCCTTATGTCCCTAACAGAGCACTTCGCTGTCAATCTGCAGGTTTACTAGTGGTTTCAAGAAATTCTGAAAGTAGAATGGGAGGCAGATCTTTTCGTTATCAGGCTCCTCTCCTGTGGAACCAACTACCAGTTTTAATCAGTGAGGCAGACACCCTGTCTACTTTTAAAGCTAGGCTTAAAACTTTGCTTTTTGATAAAGCTTTTAGGTAGAGTGGCTCAGGTTATCCTGAGCTATCTATAGTTATGCTGCTATAGGTTTAGACTTCTGGAGGACATGGGAACCCCCTATTTCATCATTTTGCTTCATTCTATCCTTATTCTCCCACTCTGCAGAGTCTGTTTGTTCAATCTCTAATGTTATACTCTCTCTGCTTTTCCTCATTGTACCTTCACCTCATCTGTTCCTGTTTGGCTGTGACACAATTCTGGAGAGGAATATCAGCTGTGCTGCTGCCATCAACACCTTTGTTTATAGATGTTTGAGATATGCCTATTTTTCAGTGTAGTCCTGTTTCTTTGACTATGACTAGCTGGGTGTGCTCTCTTCATCCTCTGACATAGGAGTTGGCTCGGAGCTCGTCTGCCTGGCTGTGTGTTTCCTGGATGGGGCTCCCTTTCGCAGTTGCTTTTTGAATCTCTGCCTCTGTCTCCTTGAACCCCAGTCGGCCTCGACAGATGGCCGTTCACACTGAGCCTGGTTCTGCTGGAGGTTTCTCTTTCTTTTAAAAGGGAGTTTTTCCTCTCCGCTGTCGCTACAAGCATGCTTAGTGTGAGGGATTGCATTCTAGTCAATGAGTCGATGCAATAAACTGGTTTTCCTTAGATAGAAAACTTTGACTCAATTTGACTGTATGATCTGGTGAACTGTAAAGTGCCTTGACATGACATGTGTTGTGAATTGCCGCTTTAAATATAAATTAAATTTCATTTAATTTTTGGTTTGAACAAATCTGTTCTTTAGTCAGTTAATTTATCCAATGGGTAGAGTAGCCAGAAATTCTTTACTTGCCCGATCACTGCTGCACTCTAAGAAATTGAAATTTCATGAGATCTGTACAAAACGATATTTAATAAAGTTTGTTTAAGTCTTAAGTCTAGATGCAAGAGCAGCAATAATTTCAAATGGCATTACCCGAAAAAAGTAACAAAACAAAAAAACAACAAAAAAAGCAGTGAACCTACTCCTAAAGAAATATTTGTCTCAAAAATACCATCATCTTGATCCTGAAGCTATAATGTAGGCAAACCTCGAAAAAGCTTCTTTCTCAGTAATCCAAATTCATTTAATTGATTCTTATGTAATAGAAATGTGTTCCTGTTAAACTCAGGAACACGAGCACATTTATTTATTTGTTTGTGTGTTTGTTTAAATTGACCCATAAGTTAATGCAGCAGTTCTGCTTACTTTTCAGTCCAGCAGATGGCAGTATTGCAAACGCGCGATAGGCGAAAATCAGGAAGAAGAAAGGGGGTGGGGTCGGATATCTATGGGTGGGGTAACAGAAAGCACCCGAAGAAGAGATATATGTCTGAGTAAACATGGCCTCGCCCGTCGGCTGTAAGCATTATGTTCGCAGTTGTCTATTGAAAGTGAGTGAACCTTAGAAATATACTTTTCCTGCCATGCCTAACTAAAACATTAATCGGTTGAGAAGAAACTTGTTGTCCAGTTATGAACCGTTTTGACGCTGCATCGGTGCTCTCCTGTTTGTGACTCAAGCGTTGCTTGGTTCGTTACCGTGACTTATCAGTTATTGTTTCTTACCAAAATTCCATAAGTTTTCATTGCAAAAACAACCAAAGAAGAAACTCATGGTCTTATCCGTAGTGTTGGTACTATCTGACAAGTTAGCTTAGCCGCTGCATGCGAGTCACCTAGACGCAGCTTTCCCGTTTTACACATTTAGGACACTTTAGTAATTAATTTCTTATATGAGTTTATTAGAATTTTACGTAACAAATTAATTTGCATGGAGGAGAATTCGGCCATGTTGCTTAGCTGTGGTAAGAGGGTGATTGGGAGTATTTAGAGCAGATCTGTCAAACTAATTGTATATTGGACTAATTTGGTGTTTTTCAGTTTTAGCTACAAGTGCTTTTGCTTCATGACAAGATGTGACTCTTTGGCTCTTGAGTGCCTGATAAATTAGTGATGGCCCTGAGTTAGCCTGCTGGCTTTGAGTTTGACACATTTGACCAAAGGAGGGTTAGTGGCAATTCATTTCTGGGGTAAATTCCTGCGCACCCTGGCTTTTCCATTTCAGAAAGCTAGAGAGCCATTACCCTGAGGAAAATTGTGGATTAAATGGATCCATGTAGGAGCATTATAACATAGGTGTACAGTATGAAATATTGACAGTGCAAAGAAGGCATATTACACATTACATTTTTGGGAAATCACATCATTAATTACTGGCTATTATGTTGCTCCCAGACGCATACTTAAAACAAAATAAAATTAAGATACGCAGAACGTAGAAATGTAGCAAATTATTAAAAAAGTTATTTACCAGACACTCTACATTTAGCACTTTTTCTTTTACATTTTGTCAGAAAAGTTTTCCTTTTTTTTTGGAAAACTGTGCATCAGTGTTCAACGCATGTATAAATATTTATCTATATTTGTTTATTAAATCTATTTCTACAAGCCAAATTTATATATGAATGTTACATTTATTTCTAAATTCTAAATTTATATCTAAACTATATCTTATATCTGAAGCTTACATCCAATAAATGTATCTTAAATTTAAGTGTATATCTTAAATCTGAAACCTAATCGTAAGTGTTTTTGAAGCTATGCCAATTAACTGTGCCCCTTTACCTACTCTGTGTAGGACAGCAATTCTTTATAAAATGAGACATTGGAGTGACCTACAGGTAACCACACTGTGACTGATCTAAACTAATGTGCAAATCTTTCTGTCCTTCACATTGAAAACCGGAAAGATAGAGGAGGGCTTTTCTTTCCTGCACAGCTTATTTAAGTTTCAAGATTTATGTTCTTTACTACAGATTTTTGACTATTGGGTGGCATAAAAATGGACAAAGGACTAATCGTACTGTTTTAAAACTACAATGAATTCTATTTTTTCCCTCCATTTAACATGGCAAAGTATTAATTGAACAGAAATAGGGCTACTAACTTGAAAGGCAAACTAATCAGTAAATACTCATCAAAGTTACTGCGGTAAACATACTGTTTTGTGATTGTTTGATGAAGGTGCGTTTTGTTTTTCTCAGGCTCCATGCTGTGGGAAACTGTATGTGTGTCGACTCTGCCACGATGCAGAAGAAAACCACCAGATGGATCGCTTCAAAGTCAGAGAGGTTCTGTGCTCCGAGTGTGAGACCCTGCAGAAGGTAAATGAGATAGACAGAGCCCAGGGACAGTCTTAGGAAAGTATTTTATTTAATTCAGAAAGCATGTTGGTGGTTTATAAGGTATTATTAGAATGGGATACATTTTTATAAAAAATAATTGATTCCTCTTCATATTGATTAAGAGAAATTTATTGAAAGTTCTTTGCTTATAGATGACACATGTTATGAACTGGCTGGCACTAAATATATAACCTGAAGTAAATAAAAATGAATGAAGCTGAATGCAGGAAATGCAACCTAACCCTGAACAAAGGTTAATCACCATTCTCATTGCAACAGAAAAACATTCTTTTACATATCAAGTGTATTATTGTTCACGTCCAAGATTCCTGGAATAACTTAAACACAATATCATGGTATTTTTTTTAATTTAAATTCCTATCTTTTATTCTATATTTAGTGTTTTATTCTCTTATCTCTTTATATCCCCTCCTCTGCTAACTGCTTTATTTTATTTAAATGCTTTTTTGTTTGTGGTTTTTGTGAGCTTGTTAGAACTATTTGACATTTTGTTGTGCTACAATAAAACAATAAAGAAATTCTGATTCTGGTCAGAGGTTTAGATACAGTCATCATCAGTGTTATTGTGCTTTAAAATTTAGCTTTTAATGATGCCATTTTGCTACAGTCAAATTATGGTACACAACAAGCAGCTTTAAAAGTTTTATTTATTTATTTTAAACAGTTCAACCACACCATTTGTGAAACCATCAGCAGCCTTATGGACAAATAACAGCTGGATATTTGACTTTTTCTTTTCTTCAAAATCCCGGATAACAACCATTATCACCAGAGCTCACTGATCAATGCTGATGTTTGTCATGGCGGTGCGAACCACCACAACTAGTTGGAACTTTTGCACACAGTTCAATGTGTAAAAATCAAAAATTAACAAATTACCCTCACTTTCATTCAAACTCTAATTGATGGTTGTAAACTTCTGACTCAAACAGTCGTCATTCTGGGAATAAAAAAGTTACATGTTCTATTCAAGTCTCTGTTCTGATCTGTGATTAGTTCTCAGTACATTCTGGAGGTCCAAGTAAACTGTTTATTCTCGGTCCTCTAGGCTCAGAAGAACTGTCAGCAGTGCCATGTGCAGTTTGGGGAGTATTACTGCGACATCTGTCACCTGTTTGACAAGGATAAGAAGCAGTACCACTGTCAGCCGTGTGGGATATGCAGGTGAGCAGTTGTACAAATAACTAAGAGTTTTATAGTGTTTGCTTTTTGAAATATTTTTTTTTAGAAAAGATAATCAAGAATCACTATTTTCTTAATTGATTTGTAACAGACATGACGGTTGTATTTAATGTGATGCTCTTTTTTTTTTCCACATTACAGGTAGTGGACCATTTAACGAAGCAGCATCGTTGAATTTGTTCCCTTAAGGCATCTGTCAAAGACAATAGATTTATAGTTGTGATGCAGAATCCCCAGAACAAAGAGCGAGCTAAACTTTCAAAGAAAATCACTTCTGCTTTTTCCTCTACAGGATTGGGCCCAGAGAGAAGTACTTTCACTGTGAGAAGTGCAATTTGTGTTTAGCTCAGGATCTGCGAGGAAACCACAAGGTGATTTTTTTTTTTTTTTTTTTTTTTTTTTTTTTTTTTTTTTTTTTTTTTTTATGATGTACATGTTACATTTTTGTATTTGCTTATTGGCTGGTGTTCTTTATTTCAGTGTGTCGAGAATGTATCTAGGCAGAACTGCCCAGTGTGTATGGAGGTAATCGCACATGTAAAGTGTTAATGTGTATTTTCTACAAGTTTTGTTGGGAATTAATCTTTTCATCTAAAATGTTTTGTTTGTCTATGCAAAGGATATACACACATCCAGGATTGGAGCTCATGTTCTTCCTTGCGGCCATCTTTTACACAAGTAAGACTGGTTTATATCATCAGTTATTATTGTGTGTCTAACTAGAGTCTAGGACCAGTAATTGGTGGAATGATTAAAATAAAGCTGCCATAATGCTTTCAAAATGATAAAAATGTGTTTTTTTTAAGTGCAAAAACATATTTTCCAATGTTTTACAGAAAATTAAGTTAAAAAGAAAACAGTACAGAGGAGAATTCGGAAACAAACTTTTTTGTTAGAAGACGTAGTATGAGGTGTGCAGTAATTTTTCATTAGGGGAGGTTGAACAATGCATTCTTCCACAGTTTAAATGTGGCTTTCAATGCAACAAATAAGATAATTTCTTTTTTTAAGCTGCTTGTTTTTGGATTTCGTTGAATGCCCCTTAGAAAATTTTTCGTGTAAACATTTTCGGGTGATCAATGAATTGATTATCTGACATTATTCAAGTAAGTTTACTACTAGTGTTGGCTGAAATATTGTTTCTAAAAAATAGGTTTAAAATTGGTATGGTTATGATTCCGGCATCAAAAGCTGCTGTGAATTTAAGCCAAAATAGAAAAAAAAATTCTCTGCAGTAAAAATATATATTTTTTAATTTTACTGTATATACCCAGGAGTTTTTATATCTAAAGGCTAAAGCTAGTCCCAACTAGACTGTTAGTCCCAGAAACTCAAATGCATCACAGCACCTGATGCACGGCTACATCATCACTTCATTTGCAAAAGGTTACAGTTGCAAAAGGTGAGAGTTATTTACACGTTGAATACAGGTTGGACATTAACAATGACATGCCTGTATGAAATGTACTGAGAACAGAACCTGTTAAGAATATGTGGTCACTTTAATTACCAAATAGACAAGTAAGAGGAAAAACATTTGATTTTAACCAGTCGACAGGAAGTCATTGTATTGCTTTAAAATGTCCAGAAGGGTTTTAACTGTATGTGTCTTAGTATGTCTTTTCCACTAAATCAGTTGGGGAGCACTGAATCAAATGCAAATAATGATGACTTAATCTGTATGTTTAAATTCTCATAAAGAAAAAATTCTCTGTGAGATTCTTAACCTGCTAGACGTCCACCATGTTTTTGTCTCAGACTGGTCACTGCCTTCAGCCTCCAGGCTCAGGAACAGTCAGTGCTGGTTCAGCCGCTTTGATATGAAATGTAACTTTTGTCTTTGTTCACAGGACTTGCTTTGATGACATGATCAGAACAGGGTACGTCTTGTTTTAAAAAAAAAATTTTTTTACATTTAGTTTGCTGAAATTAGCCCTTAAGTAGTCGCTCTTTTTATGTAGCTGTTGATTTTAACTTAATTTGAATATTTTCAGCCTCCAATGTTATCCGGAAGCAACCTTTCTTCCTTAAAGTATTCCATTACTTTAGTCAAAGACTTGGAAACATTGTTTTTGTGGCACAAGTTAAATATCTGGCCTCAGAGTTTATTTACATTCAGATTTAGAATGATCAGGCCGCACTTTATTTAATGAAGTCTTTAAGCTGCTTTCTTTGTCTGCATGTTTGTTTTAGAGCTTACCGCTGTCCTCTGTGCATGCATTCTGCTTGGAACATGGAGGAACACTGGGAATTGATAGATAAGGAGATTGCCCAGACACCAATGCCCACTGAATATCAAGGCGCTACTGTCAAAGTAAGAACTCACTATCAAGTCAACAGGTTCTTTTCTCTGTCTGGAGTTCATTCATCCAATTCAGCTTTATGAAGTTCTAGATTATTTTATTGACTCAAAGATAAGTTATAATGGTTTTTGCTCAGACTGAATGTAATTCAAAATGATGATGTGAAATAGAAATGAAAAATTACTCTAAAGGAGAATTATAGTTATTTACATAAATATTCATACCCCTTGAATGTATTGTTTTGTAACAGCCACAGATTGTTTCACTTTAGGCCTAATTTGTTGGGTTGTCTGCTCATGCAATTCTTTTTTTTTTATCGACAGCTTTGGTGTGTTTCTGTGTCACAGCATTGTCAAAAGGCACAGCATGCACACTATAGAGTCTTTATTTTAGGTTTTCGCCTATGTTTTTCTCTCAAATTTTTTTTAAAGATTCCATCTTGGTTTCCTTAAGTTCAGGGCATCCGCCTAGGTCAGTAGACCACACCAGCTTTTTTCAAGCCTGGTCCTCAAAGCAAAGTTTCCCATTTATTTAGATGTTTCTCTGCATTAACACACCTGATTCAGATAATAGTAGTTCAGTTGTCCCTGTGAATCTTCTGTCAAAGGAATTCAGGTGTGTGAAAGCTGGGAAACATCCAGGACATGCAGGGCAGTGTTTCTTCAGGAGCACGGTTCAAAAAACTGGAAGACATCATCAATGTAAAGAAGGTTGGCTTTCAGGAGACTGAGAAATGTAAGCCAGAAAAGCTTTGTTGCCTATTAAATTGGAGTTACAGATCTCTCCATGTGAGCATATTTAAACCAAGATGATTAGAAGAGAACGGTCACATCATAAACAAATATAAATACAAACCTGGGTGGATACTTAAGAAGTAGAGGGAGCTTTATAGCCGATATTGCCTTTTCTTCCTGCATTGACACGATACAAATAAGAAAATTATAACTATGTAACACAAGTCTCTATTTAAATAAAATAGAAACCTTTGTTAACTTATCTAACAAAACATTTAACGATTGGAACAAGTGGCAATGCATGCGCTTCACATAAGCAAATACAGACAAGGAAACAAAACACCATTATTGTCCGGCCAATGTAGTTTAGTGCCTTATCATCATCTGGTTTGGTCCACTGTGTTTTTTGAGGGTCATCAAAACATCTAATCTACATGCAAAGTCTATGGGGGACCGCGTTGGGAGCTGTGCATCCAAGCGTTCTGGCATCCGAGCGTTTGATGCTGCAGTTCACTGGACACCGGAGCGTCAGCCAATCAGAAACGTTCCAGGAGTTTTTTGGAACACAGACGCTACCTGCAAGCTATCGTTGCTTCTGCATATGAAAAATAAATATCAAGGCAGTTAAACCGGAAGAATGGATTATTGTGTAGAAGGAACAGAGAACGAACGCTGACCATTATTGCTGAACTAAAATATTTTATGAACTACCAAATTAACTCAAAATGTTAAAACCTGTCGACCAAAAATATTCAGTTTTATATTCTGGTACTTGCATGTTTTTAACAAAAACTTTAAAACCATTTTATATTCACTTCCAGCTGCTTCAAATGGCAGCGGGAAATTCCTCACCAGCTGGTTGCAGCAGAGAGCTTTTTTGAACAAGGATTTCCTGCGCTGCCTCCTGGTGGCATGTTGGAGGTCTGGTGCTCCGGACAAGAACAGCATATTTTTCTAGGATCATTATGGATGAAAAGCAGTCTCATTGAAATCTCCCTTTTTTTGTAAACCGAATTTTAAACACTGAATATTTTAGCCCAGAATTTTAAAAAATTTACTTTTTTTACACATTAAATTCCTTACACTGAATTTTCATCTGGTTCAAATTCAGCTGGGGAAAAAAAATCAGCTGCAGAAAATTTTCCTGCAAAAGATTCTACTGCCAATGTGTGACTTTTTGGTGAAATGAAGCTAAAACATCTACACTTGCTCATTTGGTCGGGAAAAAAAGTTTGCCGCTATGAAGGTAGATTTTTTTCTTTATTATTAAATAAAAAAAAAAGGTTTCTTCAATCAAATAATAAATTTTCAATTAAAAAAATCTTCACTTCAATGAAATAAAACCTTTCAATCAAAGAAAAAAAATATTTGAATGCAAAAATATATTTGAGACTCAAAAAATACATTTAAGCACTGCTTTTCTTTGAAAATGTTTAATTTGATAGAAGTGCAGTATTTTTTGTTTAAAGCAACTTTTTAAATTGAAGTAACATTGTTTTTTGATTAGAGAATATAATGGGTAGGACATTTGTGTCTTTATTATTCAATCAAAAAAAGAAGTTGCTTCAAAGTAACTTCAATGAAAAGAGCCACCCTTTTCCTGTCAAGAACCCAGCATGTTAGACTAGGAGAAGCTGATCTTTTTATTCCTGTGGCTTCAGATTGGATGAACCACCAAAGTAAAAGGATAATATAACATAAAACATGTTGAATATAACATGAGAATATTGGAGAAATTGTTGTAGTTGTATGAAAAACCTTTGCAGGACCCTTTAATCAATGAGGAATGACTCGAATCCAAATTAAGTAGTTTAAACATCTTTTAAAAGTTCTTCCTCAGGTGTCTCTCATCAGCTGTTTACTTGGTTCCCTGCAGGTAATTTGCAATGACTGCCAGACCCACTGCACCGTGGCTTTTCATGTGTTGGGGATGAAGTGCGCTGAATGTGGCTCCTACAACACAGCTCAAGACGGAGGACTCATCCAGCAGCAGCAGGAGCCGCAGCAGCACACTGATCAGTACACAGACAATGAGCCAGAACCGCAGGATCAGCCGGGATCAGAGATGCCACATTAAAAGCTTTAATGGAAGACTGACTTTTAATTCGTGCACTCATACGTGTCAATGTATATTAATAAAATTACAGACTGTTCTAAATGTATTAAAAAGGTAAACCCATCCAATTCATGTCCTTCATCTTAACATGTGAGACAGAGGCCTCAGTGACAGGACTCAGTTAAATCCTAGGAATATCTTATCAGTACCTGCAGACAGTTTAGAGTCAGACTTGAATGCTTTCAGACAGTGACATACTGTGGGTTATAACTGACTCTGTTAACGCATTTAAAAGTTTGTGCCACAAGCTCTGTTTAATAGCTAATCATAAGTTTTTGTACAATATATGGCATGTCAAATTTTCAAGAACACCTTGAGTTTGGTAAAAAATATAAAATTGGAAGTGATGTACAGTAATGTCACTTCATCACAGCTGTTTGTTGTAGAACATGGCTGTCAGATTGATCTCTTTTCAGCAATTGTGCTTTCAGTCCTAGTCTAGAGTTTGTATTCCACAAGTTCAGAGCTTGATGAATTAACTCCTCCTGGGCTCTAAAGCCTCATTCTGGCTGCAGATTAGGCCTCCATCCTTTTGAAAATATTTAGGCTTTCTGCTTCATATGTTTCATACCTCCTCTTGCCTTTCATTTTTCTTTTGAAGCTGGTTGTGTGGTAGGTGGTAGAGAATTTTTATTTACCTGTACAAGTAATCAGCAATCTGATGTCAGATCTGGAAGAAACTCGTGGAGCGGGAAACGATAACTGCTTCTTTTGGCGTGCCTTGTAAATTGTTCACCCTCCTTGCCATTTTTCATATTTCATATTCAACCTCCTCGCAACCTTGAATTGAAATCCATAGCTTTTCTGCCATTTCATTAATATAACAAGCGGTTGGTAGTAATTTGTTAAATTTAATTGAATAACAATATGAAAAAATGCATGTTTAGAAGTAGGTTTACTCTGTGGTACTTTTTACTTTAGTAATATTCTTGTAAAGTATTGCTACTCCTACTTGAGTAAAACCTCTGACTACTCTGTTCTCAGTGATTTGAACTATTTCAGAATCAGGTAAACATACAGGAAACAGTAGATATTAACAGTAACACTCAACATACAGTTCTCATTGTATGGATTTCTAGGTTTTATGTTGGGGAAAACAATTGGTAAAGTATTTCTTCTGCACTAATTTGTTCTTTTATATTCATGACATTTATTTGTATTTTTCAGGCATTTGAGTCTTTAAAATACCAGAGCTTGCACATAAAGTCTGCCAGCATCATTTATAAACATTAAATATCATGTTTTTATCCTACAATTACTTGGTACAGAAGTAGCCTTTTTTACTTATTTACTTTTACTTGAGTAATTTCTTGGATGGCTACTTTTTACTTTGTGTAAAAAAAAAATTAAAGTAGTGCTACTCTTACAGTTTCTGGGGATCCTACCCACCTCTGGTTTGAAGTTTGAAGTTGTATAATAAGATGTATAATTCTGCTAATTGAGAAGCAAACAAAAGGACAGAAAACTGCCACCTGGTTCGTCCACACCCACTCCTAAACTTGGCAGCCATCTTTGGCCGTGTTTACAGCTGCAATTTGCTTTAGCTAAATCTCTCTGAGCTTGCAGACTGCTTCCTCGTGTTGATTGGGGTGAACAGCTACCTTTTAATCATTCTAGATTGAATTGGCGGCTGGACTTTGAATCGGTCATTTTGACATGTCTGTCCTGTTGGAAGGTGAACCATCCCAGTCATAAAATGATGCTGGTTTACTTCAAGAACATCCCAGTATTCAGCACCATCAGCCTCTCTTTATCTTGGACCAGTTTCCTAATCCCTGCCGCTGAAAACCATTCCCAAAGGAAGGGTTTTCCTTTGTAGTCTAAATGAATATTTTAGTTTTATCTTACCATAACACCCTGCTCCATTCATTTGGTGAGTCTCCCATAAGCATTTTAGCCAAACTACCCTTATTTAAGACCTAAGTAATGGCTTTTGTTTTGAATTTCTTCCATAGAGCTCAGAACTGTGGAGGGTACAGCTTATTATGGTACTATGAACAGATACTTTCTCTACTCCAAAGTCTGCACTGCCTCAGGGTTACATTTGGTCTCTGTTCTCAGATTAATGCTATCCTTGCCCGGTCTGTGAGTTTTAGCGGACAGCCCTGTTAGCGGGTGTCCTGTGGTACTGTGTGCTTTCCAATGGAAGCAGTTGGATTTGATGGCGCTTAGTGTTTATTTTAGCTTGTGGGGCTTTTCATAACAGGTGTGGTGACACTGATAGATGATGTGACACTTATACACATATGTAGACCTCATGTCACTGATAGCGTGACTTTTGATGGTAATTGGATGCAGTTAATCTTTTTGAGGGCATCATAGCAAATTTGACATATTTCCATGCCATTTATTTTTTTTTTTTATAATTTAAATATTTTTTGCAGATCTATCACTTAGAAAAGATTTAAAATGAATTAGATTTACATGTTAAAATGTAAGAAAATAGATTAAAGGTGGAGGGTGAATACTATAGCAAAGCAAAGCAGTTGAGCCTAAGACTCCATGTTAAATTTTGAGATTCACGCTTTATTCAGTTGTTGAGGGTGTCAGTATTTCCAATGCCCATGTTACGATCAGCTTAAGAAATAGTACTAGGTATTGGTGACATGTTTCCATACATTCAGAACAAAAAGTGCAGCAAAAATTGAAGATTTTTTTTAACTAGTGTGTTTTAACATGGCATCATATAGTGCTCCATTACAGCTGCAGAGAACAATTTTCAATCCAGCACACTGTTTAGTATTAACAGATTTAATCCTCATAAAAGCAGCTCATAAAAATCAACAAATGTTTAAACCTTAACTTTATAAAATATTGGATAATAATAAATAATAAATATTTGCCTAAGGCCTTATATTGCAAATATGCACTAAGACTGCTAAAAATACATTCCACTCGTCAAACCTCTAAATGATAAAGAGTTATTAGCAAAGCAAAGACAATGTGGCTGCCTTTCTCTGAGGATGTAGCAGAGTGTTTATAGACAGAGACAGAAAAGGCTTCGGACTTTTGTTTTGGATATTTTGTTGCCACAGAGGCTATATTTAACGGATCGAAATTAAATCAATATGAGAAAATATTTTTAATGTGTAATCCTGCAATTATTGACTATTTTCTTAAAATAAAGAAAATAAGTGAGTTGCCTTTGCTGGGATCTCCAATGAGCACTTCTCAAAGATCAGTCAAGCTCGGCAAAGATTCAGCTTTCTTATACTCAACACGGTTCTGTTTAGAAAAAATAAACCCATGTTTGATTAAAATTAATTTACCCTTCAAGTGAAAGACCTCTATTTAAATGTATCATCATCTTAGATGGCTGATAAATTGATGTACCTTTCTCTTGTTCCCAAGGTGGTTTGATTGTGGAGCATTTGACAAAGTGCAACTGTTATAAATGGAGCTATTGAGTATTTATTGCTTAATATTTAATTGCTTCAGTTTGTCTTGTGTTTGCAGTTTTAAATTCATGATATTCAAGGACACAATTAAAAATTGTAATTATGTGTAGTTTAATGAGTTGCAATGACAGATTTCCATAGAGTTATACTTTATTGTTCTACGTGAAAAAAGCAAACAAGACAGATGTTTTTTTTTTTTTCATCTTTTTCTTTTTTTCCATGTATTGATTCAACTAATAAAGCAGTTCAGTTATGCTACCTTTACTGTAGGTCAAATGTTTCTTTTTATGTTTGTAGCAGTTACCTACACTGGAACCACAATGAGTAAAATCCCACCAATGAAAATGTAAAATCATAGCTTTAGTGTTTTTAGAATACTATGTTGTTCAATCAGGCTTATCTACTGTCTCCTCGAGGGGGAGCCTGCACAGGGTTTGTCAGCTGGGTGGTAAAAGGATCAGAAGTTTCTGCAGGGGTGTCTTCATCAGGGATAATCAAGGATGTGTCTGTGGAGAACAACAGAGGTGTTGGTGTAATGACCTGCATGGGATTGGGTGATGTGGCTGTCTGCTGAGGGCCCTCATATGTGCTGGTGCCCTTTGGTTCCATGATCACAACAGCGTCAAGGCAGTCCCCTGCAGTGTCAGGAGAAATGCCTATATGCAAAGCAGTTTGACAGGGGTTGAGTTGTAAAGCATTAATGTCTGTGGATGTCTGTGGGTCTTCTGGCATTGGCACTGCTGCAGTGTCAAGGGTGGGTGAATGACTGGAGTCCAGGCGGTCTGTCTGAATGCCTGTGTCTATAAACACAGACTGTGAAGGGCTTAACTGATCCGTCTCCTCTGATGACATTGACTTGCTGGACTCTGATGATTTTGATAAATCATCTCCCACATCTAAACAAATCTGTTTAAAAAAATGAAAGTCATTGGTTCATTTATTCTGTAGTGAAAGAAAGTCTTACAGCACAATTCCTCACCGGTTTAGACGTCACCGTTGTCAACGTAAACACCGCCCAAAGCGTAGCCCTCACAACTTCCATTTTCCTCTTTTCTCTTTCCAAAACCAATATAAACACTCTGTCAGTGTACTGTAATGTAAGAAAAACTGTTCAGGTCATCATTTCACTAGCAGCAACTAAATGCAATTCTAAAGAATATTTATGGACCATGCTTAATAAGCATTTCCATTCCTCCTGTTAAACAAGGGTTTCCTTTCTACTGCTAATAGATGCTTGCTCTGAATGAGGGATTTCTTCCATTCTTCCAGCCATTGACAATGTGAGTGATAGTGGACCTTTTAACCAGTCTGTCTGAATTGTCTGATTAAACAGATTTTTAAAAAGTCCCTTGAGATGATGTTTTGTAAATAAGCAAAGTATAAATAAACTGATTATTAGATTAAATCTGTTTCAGGAATTTGATTTAAAAGAATTCTAGAATTTTGGCCAAGAGGTCTTTTTAAATACCCAGGATGAGTTTTGCCTGAGGCTTATGGTGACTTTGCTTCAGGTTGCTTAACAACATTTAACCTAATATCTGCGGGTGAATATATTTGAGACTGTATACATAATTTGGACCATTTCGTAGATATAAGAAAATATTATGAGATTTAAAGTTAATTTTTTTTTCGATTAAATTCTCAAAAAATGTATCCTAGTCTGAAAAAAAAACTCAAGTTAATCATCTAAAAATAAAATTAGAGACATCAACTTCAATGCTAAATGTATTCTGACCCATATATATGCTAACAAATGTTTCTGTTTCATAAAGCCTGTACTACAAAAAGGAACGTTTTTCATGCTTACCTTCAGTATATGTCCAAGAAGAGTTTGAATCTTCTATATCCTAAGTGACTGAACATCTGAGCTATGCATGTTTTTATATGGCTGTTCACTCACACATGGGGGTTAAGAATTCACAGCCACCCTGAACAAAAAAAAAATTAAAATAAAACCATTGAAGCTGCATCCTAGTATTTAAAATTCTTTCTGTAAAATAAGAATGCACCAGAAGTGGTTTGATAACCAAAATGCTTTGTGGGTTTAGTGTAAACAATAGGAAGAATTTCGTCCTGCCTTTAAATACATCTAGATGTCACAGTTTGGGCCTAATGATACACTAGAGTGCTAAGGAGATAATGCAAAACCAAAATATTCCTCAGCTTCAAGTATGTAGTATCTAAGTCCCCATTGTCTAACGCAATGCTATCAATAAAACAGTTTTAGGTTATTAATCAGAAACTTTTTTTATTGTTTAAATCTCCAGTTGTTTTCAGATAATTGTAGAAGGTTGAGCACCATTTATGTTGTTTCAGTTTGAGCTTTACAATACAGAGATTTTCCAGATTTATTTCTTCAAAGTTTGCATGTAATGCATTTAAATACAGTCTGGTATTTTACCGAGTTAATCTTGCTACTACCCTGTTGAATGTGCCAGACATTCCTCAGGTCTTTGATCATAGTCCTCTTAAGTCCCATTTACACTACCCTTTAGAAACTGTGACGAGGACGGTCCGAGCATAGTAACCGAAATAACTTGAGTGTGAAAATACTTCTGCTCTAATTATGTTTAACTAAATTCCATAGAGAATCAGGTAACTGGAGGACATTAGTGAACTGGTTCAAAAAGATGATCTGAGCTTTGTGGCATGGTGTTCCATCCTGCTGGAGGCACCAGTTAAACAGTGGGAACACTGGATAGGCCTAGTTGAGACCACTAAAGTAATTCAAATCAATTCAATTTACTTCCAATTCCCAACCCATGTCGTCTCAAGGCACTTTTCAGAGACAATTCAACAGATCATACAGTCAGATTGGTTAAACGTTTAAGGATAACCACCTGTTTGCATTGGCTCA